TGTCTTTCCCTCCTCCTTCCTATTCTCCTCCCTCCTCTTTTCCTCTCCCCTTCAGATGAATAAAATTATTTAAAAAGTGATGTATTTTTTCAAACTTATATTCAACATAGTATTTAAAAAGCTTTGAAAATTTTAATCATTCCTGTCTGGCAATTCCCTGCTAGTTATTTTTATACTAAATAGTTCTTAATGACTTTGATAACTTTTTTAAATGGTTCCTGTCAAGAGAGATTTTAAAATACCCGTCTCTTTCCTTTCTGCTTTTGATTCCTGCCGCTCCCATGGGAGCCAAATACTCGAATCTGTTTCCATAACAATTTTTCTTTTTCCCTTGCAAGACTATCCTGTTGGTTTGTTGGGGCTGATTTGAATCTTTTATGAGAGCACTGCAGTGTGTGGGTCAGAAAAGCACAGCCTGTCGGTGGAATTAGTGGATTGAGGGCAAAGAGCCACCCGTGGGGCGGGGGTCACCCGTGGGGCAGCCGGTGGCCTCAGATGTGTTTTGTGAGCACGTCCGTGTTTTCTCTGTAGCTGCAGAGGAGCAGCTCAGGATGCTGGGGCACTTCTGAGCTCCTTTCTCATGGTCTCTTCCAGTGTTCTGGGACCAGCCGTGACCTTCAGAGTGAGCGCCAGCGTCCAAAACCTGACGGCGGCAGACGTGGTGCAGGCTACAGGTAAGGCCCTGTCAACACAGCCCCGCGTGAGCACGCACACCCTGGGCAGAGACATGCACAGTCTCCCCAGCACCCCAACATCTAATGGGGAGACGGGATGGCCGGGTCGGTGGGCGCGGCCGGAGCCTCATCGCCGTGGTGCGGCCCACCCGGCTGCAGGTGGAGGACACGGCTACCTCTGAGACAGAGGGCAAGGGCCTGGGGTCTGCGGCGGCCCCCAGCCCCCGTGTGGACAGAACGAGTGCCTGCTGCTTTTGGCATCCCAGCCAGGCTGTGCTTCTGTCTGTCACGGACCAAGACAGTGCCGGAGGGAGGGTTTAACAGAAACAAGGGACTTCGCTGCAGCTTTGCTTTGGAAGCCCTGGTTGTTCCGCTCACCTGTCCTGAGCCCTGGCGAGCCACACCCATACCGTCTGGGGGTGCTGTTGGCCACGGGCTGGGTGGCTCCCGCGCTCCAGCTAACAGGATAAAGTGTCCGCCTTACCTCTTTTGGTTGCTGTTGAATTTTACTTGTCAGATATCTTGGTGCCCTTAGTAACTCTTCCTGCTGAAAGTGCTGATTTCAGGGGCCCGTAGTTTTTGGTTAAGGGAGAATTCCCTGCCACGTTGTACCTCCAGAAACCTGACCAATTTCAGCTCTGAGGAGAGCCGAGTACCCCAGGCTTCACTGCAGTGTCATGTGTCACTGTGAGGCCGGAGCGGTTGGCTGTCACTCGGTGAGCTGTACGGTGTCGTCCCTCAGCACGGTGGCCTAATGCGGCCCCAGCAGATTCCGTTGCAAACACTCTGCCTCCTGAAACAGAGTGGGTTCTGTGTCGGTGGCTCTGACCCCTCCCTCCTGACCCCTCCCTCCTTCCCTCCAGCGTCCGTTCTCCCGTCCTCGTTGCTCAGCAGAAGGGATTATTGGCCATATTTAAGACCAAACCAGTTCCTGTTCTTTTCAGGCAGAAACATTCACAGTTGTTTTACAAGTGGCCGTTCACCCCAGAGCTGGGAAGTAATGCTTTCTTTTTTTAAAGATTTTATTTATTTATTTATTTGAGAGAGCGAGAATGAGAGAGAGAGAGAGCACATGAGAGGGGGGAGGGTCAGAGGGAGAAGCAGACTCCCTGCTGAGCAGCAGGGAGCCCGATGCGGGACTCGATCCCGGGACTCCAGGATCATGACCTGAGCCGAAGGCAGTCGCTTAACCGACTGAGCCACCCAGGCGCCCGGGAAGTAATGCTTTCAAAACTGGATTTGCTGGAACTTCAGGATGCAATAATGAATGGAATAGAATGGAAGGAAGTTTTTCCATCTTTGACAATCATGACAGTATACTCACTGACCATAGCCTTCATTTATTTTATTGCTTTCTTGGGAAAATGAGGTCGATTATTTAAAATCTAGTTTCTGGGTCATTTTATTTATTTATTTATTTATTTTTTTAAAGATTTTATTTATTTATTTGAGACAGAGAGAATGAGAGAGAGAGAGAGAGAGCACATGAGAGGGGGGAGGGTCAGAGGGAGAAGCAGACTCCCTGAAGAACAGGGAGCCTGATGCGAGACTCGATCCCGGGACTCCAGGATCATGACCTGAGCCGAAGGCAGTCGCTCAACCAACTGAGCCACTCAGGCGCCCCTCTGGGTCATTTTAAATGTGTTCATGTTGAATACCAAAGCTCTATATGCCAAGGGGAGATTACTGTCAGACGTATGTTTGAATGTCATAGTAACCACTTTCTAAAGACCTGAGTTTGCTACATTATAGCAGTGTGTTTGTGTTAGCTCGCCAGCTGAGTGCTTGTTGCTCATCATGCATGACCAAACGGACAACACACGTGCATAGTTTCAAAAAATTAGTTCTTTTATGTTGTGAATCATTTCAGGATGTTATGAATGTACCTGATGCTACACAGGAAAAAGATGATGAAAGATAACTTTGTGACCATTAGGGTTCTATGGTTCGGCAGTAGACTCACCACTCTGTAGTGGGCATCGAGGGCCAGGTCCCCAAGGGTGTTAGTACCAGGAGGAGAAATGAGCTCACTGAGCGCTAGACTTATTCGTGTGTTAACAAGGAAGGGGATTTCGGGGGGTTTCTTGTTTTCAAAGACAATGTGGAGCCCTTGTCACAAGCTACTGGATGGCGTGGTTGGGGCAGGCCCTGCGTGGGTGGTGCTCAGCACCTGCGGGAACAGGGCCCTCTGCTGGAATTGCTGCCGCAGACCCAGTCACTGTGGTGGCTTCCCTCGGGGGTTTCCTGGCACCACGCTTGATGCCCTTCTTGGGGTATATGACTGGTGAAGGGGACACAACCCCGCTGATGGATCTTCAAGGGTATTTGTTGGCTAACCTCATGCAAAATGGTACCAAACTTAATAGGCTTGCTGTTAATACCACGTTAGTTCTCATCAAACGTCAGTGGCGTTTGTCCTGACGGGTGGATGCAGCTGGTTCTTGTTCGGAATCTCTTCCTTGTATTACATGATTCTTTTCTGGATTCTACGAACCTCGGCATGAACACAAGGCGCTAGTGAATGCTGAAAGTAAGCGGGCGCTGCACAGGGAGGAGCTTCTGTATTCCCAGGTGCAGAGAAACCCTGGTGTCACCGTGTTTACTATGTGAGTGTTCAGTGCACAGGTTCACAATCCACATCTGCACACACTACAAGGTGCCCACAACTGGAAGTATAGTAACTGGCACTTCTCATCTTTCTGGCCATATGCCGTCTGATCAAATTGGGCAGAACAGAGAAATCGTTTTCTACTCTTCATTTCCTTGGTAGTTTATTCTCAAGTAGCATATTTCTAATCCGTTTTTGCCTTTCTCCTTTCAGAGAAGATATGGTTAAGTCATCTTTTGGGAAAAGCGTTTGCCTTCCCCTGGGCAGCAGTGCACACCCCCAACCCCTGGGTTCCCATGACTCATGGCTGGGAGCTGCCGTGCGCACTGCCCTGTCTCCAAGATCACCTGTTCCTACAGCTTCCCCCTCCTGGCACCCTGGGGAAGCTGGGCTTCTGCTCGGTGGCGTGTTCGACTCACTCGCTGACCATGTAGCTGCTGGTTGGCCGTCCTCGGTGGGCGTCTCCCTCTCACCTGTGTTGTCAGCTCACGCTTGTCTAAACGAAGCCTCTAAGACTTGCCCTTTGGCTAACGTTCTTTCTTTCATCTTGTTGGGGAGACAGCACGTGCCGTTTCAGACAACATCTCCTTACGCAAAGATGTGATGTCTTTCCTCGAGTTCTAGTAACTGGAGCCTGGCTGCCTTCTCATTCACCTGTTGAGCGTCTGCAGGAGTGAGCGAGTCTCCTCTCTGCTGTGGTGCTGTCCCACTTGTGGTTTACACATTGTCTGCACGGGAGAGGGAGAGGTCCCATGGCCTGTGGACTCCCGCTCAGGGCTCATCTCTGGACCCTGAGGCCTCATGAGCATGTTTCGAGGGTTGGACTCCAGAGTGAGAGATCAGGACAGCTGTGCCCCGTATGCATGATGTTTGACCCCAGAGCCCCTGTGGCAGTGAGTGCTGCCCAGCCTCCTGGACTCCGGGTAAAGGGGGCAGGTGTGTCTATTTTGGAAAGGGTAATGGAGTCCAGCCTGGCACAGTGAAATGAGCCCTTCTATGATGCATACTCAGTTCACCCCTCTGAACTGTTGCTCCCAAGCGAGCATCAGTGCTTCATGCTCATCTAGGTTCTCCCCTGGGCAAGGCACCATGCAGGCCCTAGGCTGACACCAACACCCAGAGGACAGCAGTCTGCCCAGGAGGAGCCCGGCAGGTCTTTCAGAGAAATGGACAGAGTGCCCGGTGCCGGGGGTGGGGGGCTTGCCAGATAAGGCTGCACAGAGGAGCTGGCCTTGGGTGGCAGCCGGGGTCAGTCTGGCTCTTAGGGGGCTGGAAGGTGAGGAAAGGTTGGTCACATGAGGGACAGCAAGGAGGGCCAAGGCACAGAGCCCACATACCAGGGACAGGGCGGGGAACGGGGCTGGGGGCTGGAGTCCAAAATCGGTCCCGAATCAGACTTTGCAACAGGGGACTGTGTCTTCAGTGTCTACAAGGAGCCCTCAGGCTTGGCTTCCTGTCGCTGAGGGACTCGGCTTTCCTTCCTGCGACACGGGGCCGGCCAGGGGTCCGCACGCTGTGCCTGTGACAGCGATCCGAAACCTGGAGGCCTCTGGGTCTGGGCAGGGGGAGGGGAGACCCGCGGCTGCATGAGCTGCACACTTGCACTGTGGTCATCTGCCCCGGGCGGCCCGTTGGGGGACATGCCACTGGGATCAGCGAGTGCTCCAGGTGGTGCTGTGCATGTGTCACTGGCCACGTGTGGCCTGGAACCTGTCTGTGGTCATTGCACTCTCGCTGAGGTTTGGACTGGAGCAAATGTTGGACAGGCTAGTGCACCTCAGTGTGGACAGGAAGTTGTACTTTTCCAGTGAAAAATAAGGAGGCGGCTCTGGAAATGCTAGAAAAGACCCACTTGATAGGAAGATTTGTGTTCATTTACCGGTGAATGAGATACCTGTGAAAAATAAAAGTGGAAGAGTCCACAGGATCCTACACGCTTCTCTGAGATGTAAAGTTAGAGAATCAGAGGATTTTTAGGTGAAAGGGATGTTGGTGTTCCTCTTCTTCGAGCCCTCACGACACAGATGGGGAGGCTCAGGCCAGAGCAGCCGGTGGGCTCTGTGGTGAGTGAGGCGCGCTGGGGCGGGGCACCGCTGGGGGGGCCGCTGATCTGCCACGCAGGAGGGACGGGCCGGGCCATTCTGTCGTTTCCAGTCAAGCTGGCTGCTCAGAAAACAGCCTTTGTTGAGGTTCCAGGGCGCATCCCAGGAGGTGGGGCTCCCACTGGCCCAGCTGCTTCGGGCAGGTTCCAGGCTGAGGGGGTGCAAGGCCTGGCTGGCCTGCAGGGCCCCAGCCGACAGGCAAGGGCCTGCCGGCGAGGTCAGTGGGGAGCATGCTGGCGGGGGATGGCGGGGGAAGGCGGGGCCGCTGCATCAGTGTCCACCAGGCTGTG